AATGCCACCCATGTTGGCTGACACTACTTTCATTTTCATGAGACAGGTTCAAATGTTTTAAGGTTTTCTTTTATAGTAAAGACTCCCAGGCCCTATAATGAATGTTTGAAGATACATGTGGGGCAGAAACACTGGCAGAGTCACTACCATTTACAGGGAGCTGTCAGACGTGACCAGAATGTGGCAAGGTGGACATATAGACGCTTGGCCAGGCAAGTGGGTCCAAATTAGAATGGACATTAAAATAGTCTGTATATCAGTATGGCATTGTAATGGATTGAGTTGTGTCCCCCAAAAATATCTGTCAGCTTGGCTGGGTCACGATTCCCAGTGTTGTATGATTTCCTTATGTGTTGTAAACTCTATCACCATGATGAGATTATATGTGATCTCCTTATGTGCTGTAAATTCTATCACTGTGATGAAGTTATACTGATGAGGTTGACAAGATCAGATAGTGTCTTAATGCAATCTCTTTTGAGATATAAAAGAGAGAAGCGAGCAGAGACACATGGGAGCCCCATACCATCAAGAAAGCAGTGCCAGGAGCACAGCACATCCTTTGGACCTGAGTTTCCTGCACAGGGAAGCTCCCAGACCAAGGAAAGACCAATGCATCATAAGGACTTTCCTCCAGAGCCGACAGAGAGAGAAAGGCTTCTCCTGGAGCTGATGCCCTAAACTTGGACTTGTAACCTACTGGACTATGAGAGAATAAATTTCTCTTGTTAAAGCCATCCACTTGTGGTATTTCTGTTAGAGCAGCACTAGATGACTAAGACAGGCATCTTTGCAAATTAAGACCTTACAGGAAGCTACTAATGAAAAAAGGAAAAAGAATACACTCATATCTGAGAATCTCAAAACTGAGAGGAGACTATATGTCCTCTATAAAAGCAAGGATGGCAAGACTTTGGCTCACTTACTTTGGACACAACATCAGGGAAGACCAATCGCTACAAAAGACATCATATTTCGTAAATAAAAAACAAAACAAAACCCATTGCCATCTAGTCAATTCCGGCTCATAGTGACCTAACAGCACAGAGGAGAACTGCCCCAGGTTTCCAAGGAGTGGCTGGTGGATTTGAACTGCTGACCTTTTGGTTTGCAGTCAAGCTCTTTAACCACTGGGCCACCAGGGCTCCTTGGTAAAGAAGAGAGTCATCGAAACGAAGGAAATCCTCCATGAGATGGGTTGACCCAATAGCCACAAAAATGGACTCAAACACACCAACCAGCATGAAGATGGCATAAGACTGGGCAATATTTTGTTCTGTTTCACATAAGGTCACCATGAGTTAGAGATGACTTGATGGCAACTAACAACAACAAGGCTATGTTTACATGACACTGACGTGCATCACTGTTAGAACATTTTGAAACAGAGATGAGAAACTTTCCATCAGCTGCATATAGTCAGAAAAGTTTCTTTTATTAAGGGAAATTTTCTTTCCCAATGTCTTCCAACCATAGAATCTTGTATTTTCCAGAGAAACAGTCTCATCATTTCATACAAATTCTTTTTGGTTATTTTAAGGCATTTATGACCAACTCTTATTTCTGCTCCTCTCAAGGATACAGTTTTAAGTCTCTTCAATTTCCTAATTCTCTTCTCCATGTTTCTCTTAGAACGTGGGTACAATACTCCCAGTGTGATACTCCTGTTCGTCCTAAAAGGGAGTAGAATGAAGCCAACTCTCTAAGATCACATAAGGTTATTTTGTCAACCACACAATGCAGTTCGTTCATACAAGATTTAAAGTTTTTATATAATAGTAGTTTATTTCCTCAGTAATTTTAGGTTTCCTGACTTGCTTTTCAAAATCCTGAATCATATTTTCTTTTTCTTACATATACTCTAAGTTTCTTGTAAGTTCTGGGGGCTGGAAACCACAGTTTATGAGGACTACTGACTGTTTAAATCTCGAAGGGCTATCATGGAAGAGGGATCAGACATTCTCATTCTGCAAGAAGATACTTCTCAAAGATTTCTGACCACGGCCCTTTAAGTAGAACCAAAGACCTCACAGTCCATGTAGCCTACCAGTGGGAAAGAACTCTGATACAATTAATTATAAAGGAATACAATAATAAAAATGCAAATAGTCAGGCAAACAGGAGGTACTAACATAAGGTGTTTATTCTCATTAATTCTAAGTATAATGGTGCTGATTCTGGTGAGGTATCACAAGAACTGAATTCAGCAGCCCCAGGGGAAGATGGTCAAGACTCAGCAATGGATAGTTCTTGAAGAGATAATCTACCCCAGAATAGAATGAGAACTGAAGGAGGGACAGCACAGGGAGACAGTGGGATCGATGAAATGATGGCCTTTCTAACAAAAAGAGTAGGCAACAATGGGGACACAGACATGTCAGGTCCCACAAAGAAGTGGGAGGACAATCATCAGGAGAGCCAACAAAGAGACTCCCCTTCCCAGATGCAGAAGCTCAGGGTCTATTCACTCCACAGGAAGTCAATAGGAGGGGATACGACAAGACTTCAGGCTTGGCTGAAACTGGGAGTAGCATGCTCAAAGCAGGAGAATGAAGCAAAGCCCTCCATACTGTAAACAAGGAGACAAACCGAGGGTCCTTTCCACACTGGGCTCCTAGAACATTGGTAGCCAAGTTGACACCTTCCAGGTAGGAGAGTGGAAGATGCTTCTCTGGCCCTCTAACACAGAAGGCCAAGCATCACTAGGCATTTGAGGAATGTTTCTAACAAAAAAGACAGAGACCAAAACAAACTGACAGAAAAAAACACCTTGGAAGAACCAGAGAATGCAGGCATAAAAAATCTTCAAACCAAAGCAAGAATGCTGATAATATCCGAAGAGATACAACATCCATGAAATGAGAACAGGATGTTATCCAAAAGGAACATCTAGAGAACAAAAAATAATTCTTGGAATTGAATAATATAATAGAAATAGAAAGGGTAGGAAGATAAAACAGAGGAAATATAAAGTAGAAAAAAAGACAAAGAGAAGGAAAAATTAGAGGAAAGATATTACAACAGCAGTCCAGGAGATCATATATCTAAAAAATGGAGTTCCAGAAGGAGCAAATTAAAAAAAACGAGGGGAAGAAATTATCAAATAAACAATACAAAAATTTCCCCAGATCAGATGGACAAATTAAGAGCTCACTGAGGGCCTACACTATGAATTAAAAAGGATCCATACAAAGGAACATCATGAAACAGAACACGACTATGGCGGCCCAGTTTATACCCTTCCTGTTCACGTTTTTATATTTCAATTACACAAATTTTTTCCTACAGTGCCTTTTTGCGTATTATTTTTTTTAATTTTATAAACAGTATCATGCTGTACACATCTATTTGCAACTTTTTTTTTCCCCAGAAAAATACTGTTCTGAGATTTATCCAAGCTGATACATGTAGATCAAATGTATAGCAGTTAACATGAAAGAAAGCCTGCAAAGGCTAACCGCTATAATAAACAACTGCCTACATCTTAACGGCTTAATGAAACAAAGGTTTATTTCTTGTTCATGTCAGGGTCCAATTGAGGACTGGGGCCAGGACTCTGCTCTGGATGTCATTTGGGGACCCAAACTCCTTCTAGTCTCTGTTCTCCTTAGGGCCTTCGAGTCCTCTTTAGTATTCTCTTGGAGGACTTGTACGGTACAGGCCTGGAAGAGAACTTCATCACGTTTGCCCACGTTCCACTGGCTGGAACTCAGTCACGTGATCCTAGCTAACTGAAAGGGAGGCTGGGAACACTGTAGCTTGTGTTCCCAGGAAACAACACGCAAGGTTTAATGAACTTATACCTTATCTGACACAAGTAAAACCCTCTTAAGGGTAAGATTAGTGTCCTTCTCCTTGCACCTCTAGCAACGTACCCTTTACACAGTAGGTACTGAAGAAATGAGCATCCAAGAAATAGCAACAGGAGTTAACTGCAAAGCAGGGGATAACTTAGAGGCAAGGTGATTCTTGCAAACAGTAGCCATGCAACATGGATCTGACAAATCCTCAGTCCTCAGTGCTTCAGCTCATCACCGAGCAGCTAATACAGAGATCTCATTACAACCCTCTATGAGCTGAAAATGACAGAGTACAGTATTTCCTGACCTACCAAGTAACTTGTCCAGCTTAAGCAAGAATTTGTATTAAGATATACAAAGTGTGGCACAGTGAAGTGGTTCTCAAAGTGTAATCTGGGGATCCTGAGGGTCTCTCAGACCCTTTTAGGGAGTCTGTGAGGTCAAAATTATTTCATAATAATACCAAGACATTATTTGCCTCTTCTACCCTCATTCTCTCATGAGTGTACACTGTTTTTTTGAGGTTACACGGTATGTGATATCACAACAGACTACAGAATCAGATATGAGAATCCAGATGTCTTCTATTAAAGAGATTTGAAAAAAATCTAAACAGCACTCTCTTCTGATTAAATACTTTTTGCTTTACCAAAGTTATTTCTCATAAAAATGTCATTTATGTTGTCATATCATGAGTTTATTACTTTTTTTTTAAATGAATAAATAATTTTTTAAATTTCTGTTTCTATTTCTAATTTAGTAAAAATTGATAGATATAACCCACATAAACAAAAGTTCTTTGGGGTCCCCAATTTTTAAGTGTAAAAGGGTCCTGAGACCAAAAGGTTTTGAAAACAGGTAGGTTTATGAGCCAAATCGCTTCAGCTAAAACCTAGCTGTCATTTCTCAGTGCATGTGACTTGGCTCTCTGCCTCAGTTTCCCCATATGTAAAATGAAGTTAACAGTAACACATTCTCCCTCACTTGCTGGTGATTAAATGAGGTAATCCTCACTAAACACTTAAACAGCACCTGGCACGTAAGTGCTGGATCCCCAGAGCACCAACCCCACGGTAACGGTATACAACAGGTACCCAACCAATGTTTCCAGACTGGAGAACGTGTATTATGTAGGGAACAATGGAAAAGACACAAAACATCAGTAATCCAAAGGTCAAGATATAAAGTGATTTACTATACCTGTCAGCCACATCCAGGTCAGATTCAATCTTGTCTAGTCCTTCCATGATGTTATCAAACTGCTCACCCTGATGGTGGAGGACTTTTGCTGTATCTTCCAAGCGCTTCTGGGAACACGCCATCAAACCAGTCAGTTCCTTCCCCTTGGTCATGGGGGAGGATGATGCCTGAACAGTAGCTCCTGGCTGACACAGCAGCAGCTCTCTCCAAAAATGCTCGATGATATTGAAAACAGCATTCCGACTAGGCTGTAAGGAACTAAACCAGTGCTTAACATGGTCCTTTTCCAGGATGGTGATAGAACGGAAGATAAAATGGGAAGCCTCTTTCTTGATCTCAATTATACTAGAAAGGGGAAAGCTGACAAGAATTTTGCCAGTTTTATCAGCGATAAATTTTAGCGAGAGAGAAGTTAATGAAAGTTCTCCAGGGACCCATTGCTTCTCAGGTTCTAAATAGTAAGAGCATGGCCAGGTGTGGACACAGATGTCTCTGCTCATCTGTTTCCTAGATTGGGTTGCCACCAAGGTCACAACTTCTGCATCTAAAGGAGAGGAGACAAAATGATGGGTAGGTGAGGCTGAAGATGTAACAAGCATGCTTAGAACTAGAGACACGAGGAAGCTAACAAGCATAGTATACTTGCTAACTCTGCTCTGGACTCCGATTGTACCAAAGACTCTAAAACCTGGCCTCATTCTCTATCTGTTCTGTACAGGGGTTCTCTGCCTATCAATGGTTCTCACACCAAGTGTGTGACAGGCATACTGTCATCATCCCTACTGTGGAGTGAAGCTCTAACCTTGCCCAAAGAATTTATCTGGCCTTTGTCCCCAGTTTCTGGGAAGTCACTTCTAAACCCTTGGAACTTCCCCAGTGATTGGAGTGTTGTTGTTATTCATGGTGGGCCCCTCTGATCATACCCGATAGTTTATGTTAACAAGGTAACTCACGGTGGGGGCTGACCAAGAGTGGTGGTAAGACCCACCAGGGCCAGAAACATCCACCACATGATATTAGCCAACCTCCGGGGAGGGGAAAGAGAGCTGGAGATTGACTTCAATCATACGGCCAATGATAAAATCAACTGTGCCTATGTAATGAGGCCCCCATTAACACCCTGGGTGTTGAATTCAGGCGAGCTTCCCCAATTGACAATATTCTGCATGCATCAATGTGCTAGGTGGATGATGTGTCCCTGGGGACACAAAAACTTCTTATTTGGTAAGGGGTCCCGAGATCAAAAGGTTTGAGAGCCACTGACGTAGCGGTTAAGAAAGGAGGTTCCAGAGCCAAACTGCTTCAGCTCAAACCTACCTGCCATTTCTCAGTGCCTGTGACCTTGAGCAAACTACCTGCCCTCTCTGCCTCAGTTTCCCCACATGTACAATGAAGTTAACAGTAACATATTCTTCTTGGCTTGTCTGGCGATCAAGTGAGTAACCATTACAAAACACTTCAACAGAAGCTAACACGTAGTGAGTGCCCCTATGTGCTGGATCCCAGACCTTGCCCTAGCGTCCCTCGCTTTGGCTGGTTCTCATCTGTATCCTCTTGCTGTAATAAAACTGCAACTGTAAATACAGTGCTTTTCGTGAGTTCTGTGAGTCATTTTAGCGAATTACCGAACTTCAGCGAGTAGTGGGAAGCCCTGAATTTGGAGCCAGCTGCTCAGAAGTCAGAGTGGCCCTGGGAACCCTCAAATGCGTGCCTGGAGTCTGAAGTCTTGGGCAGACTCAGCAGTCTGAAGGTCTAAGGCCTTAACCTGTGATGTTGGGCCTAACTCTAGGTAGTCAGTGTCAGATGAAGAAAGTGAGGCCAGAAAGGTGAAGGGCTGGGATCAGAACCAAGTTTCTTAAGTCCCAGACTCATGTTCTTCCCCTCTACCAGGGGTTTTCAAACTATTATCCCCAAAGCCCCAAGGGCTCTCATAATACTCTGCATGAGATTCTCCACCCGTGTCCACCAAAACAATCCCACTCAGATCAGTGTCTACAGCTAGACACAATCTGAAGACAAGATACTGCAGTTAAAGGAAATCCCTAGAAACTACGGCCCCAAGCCCCAGTGCTTCTTTTCTCAGTTTTGATTGATGACTCATTCTCAGATCCTTCACACAAATGCTACATTTTGGCCATGATTTCCCCTATCATTCCACATCGATTACAAGTTTTTAAACTAATACCTCCATCTTAAAATTTTTTTAAATCTATTTAATTATATGGAAAAAAATCCTACAGACTAAAAACAATGTTTTTTTCCTTCTAATTCCAACTATTCTAGAGGTATCTTGGAAGAAAGGCCTGGTAATCTACTTCAGAAAGATCACAGCCATTGAAAATCCTATGGAGAGCAGTTCTACCCTGAAACATATGGGTCATCAATAGTTGGAATCAACTTGACAGCAGCTGGTTTTCTTTGGTTCTGTGTAACTATATAGTTACATACATATCCAAAAAAAACCCAAACCTGTTGTCGTGGAGTCGATTCTGACTCACAGCGACCCTATAGGGAAGAGTGGGAGATATGCCGTGTTGCAGTTGGACCACTACTTGAAAGAGCGCTGGACTAGGTTTACAGGCTTGGTTTTGGCCCTGTCAATGTCATAAACCTGTGGCTTGACTTTACACAAGGTCTTCATCCTTTTTGACTGTATGTTCCTTATTTGTACAGTGAGAGAGTTGGACTAATGTTCCATAAGGGTTATTTCAAATCTCTCATCCATGACTTTTCAGACTGTTAATAAATATAAATGTAGATATGAAAATATGAATAGTACACATATACACACATACACACATATACACATATATATACACATGTAACGAAGTATACTATTCATATTTTCACATCTACATTTACTTTCATTACTTATAAGTATATACGTGTGTATGTATATACATATGCGTATATACATATACATGCACACACACACACACAGAGAGAGAGAGACACAATTCAATAATGATGACTTCACTTATAAAAACAGAAGAATAGCTAATATTATCCCTTAAACTATTAAAAAGTATGGGCTTTCCACAGAACTGCTGGAGGCTACAGGCATTCTCTTCATTCAGTCATTCAGTCAACAAGCTTCTAAGCCCCTGCTATGTACCAGATGCCACGTTGGGCTTCACGTATACAAGGAACAAGACAGACACAGTCACTAGCTCACGAAGATTTGAGTCAAGTAGAATTCTATCAATTTACTCATGTGATTGTACTATAAAGAACCAGACCCTTCAGTATTCTTACTGGACTAGACACCAAACCAAGCACTACAAGGCTAGACAAGACAAACACAAGATACTTCTTGAAGAGTTTGCATCAAAATAAGATTTCTAATTACACAAAAACAAAGTAATTTGAGAATAAGCAATGTATTATCAAATACAAAGTGAGCTGATACAACCTAAACCCCAAAGCCTATAAAGCATAGAAATGCCAAGAGAATAAAGAAGGACTTCCTTTTCAACTCTTAATTAGACTATGGCAGTGGCTGAACGGGTCTCCCTACCTGCCTTTGGTACTATGGTACTCCAAAGAATCCTCCCACTGCTACCACAATTTTTTGTCTAAAATGGGAAGGACCCTACCCACCACTCAGCCCTCTCCCTCTTGAGGCTATTATAGACCTTACATATACTTATCATAGGATAACAATTTGTATATTTGACTGGAAGCCCTTAGAGAGCAAGGACCATATTTTATTTATCATCCTAACTCAGTGAATACTTTGTGACTAAATGAATGGGACGACACTCATGTTTTATGGTATCTGTTCAACTGGGACCCTGAGCAGCATGGCTGAGGTCAATACTGTAGTTAGTCCATCCTGCTACTTGGAGTCCTATTGATGGCAGCCTTAATTAAACACTGTATGAGACAAACTGAACAGATTTGGTCCCAATCAAATGAATCAGAGTGGTTGACGGAGTGACATACTTACAGGAAAAGTCACTAGAAGCTGTAGAAACTACAGGTAGATACGGTCGGGAGGCAGTGGTGTTTCTACATGTCTTGTGACAGTTTTTGTCCCAGATTATCTTTTAAAGGATGTTTGCACAGCACTTCCTTAAAGCTAGACATGATAACTCCCTCCTGGTTAGAGAGTACATTTGTTTCCTGACCAAGATAATAAAGATACTGTCTCCCTTGGAGGCAAAAGTTAGACAAATTTGCCAGCAGCCCCCTTAAAGACTGAGAGTTTTCCAAACTCAGCGTTCCTCAGCTGTGACACAAACCAATTGTGTTATTAGTGTCCATCCATACTCTGCATCACCTCAATGGGACTTGAGAGCCAAGGGGAACAGATGGAAACACAAAATCTGCTGTGCCATGAGTAATAAAGTCCTTTGTCTCCGACCCAGGAATCTCATGCTTTTGCCAGCATCTATGAAACTGCGGCAGGCTAACTTCTCAGAACTTTCACAGCTGCTGACAGTAATTTGTATCACAAAGGTCATTCTGCTTTAGGATATAGATTCTTCATACTAGAATTTTTCTCTCTAGTATAACTAAATACTTAATACTAAGAAAACAGAAATGTCCATCCCACAGTAGATCCTGTGGGTCCCGGAATCCATCCTGTAGTGATTTCCCCAGTTCCAGAATGCATAATTGGAATGGACTCAGCAACTGGCAGAATCCCCACACTGGATGCCTGACAAATGGAGTAAGGGCTAATATGGTAGGAAAAGCCAAGTGGAAGCCATTAGAACTGCCCCTACTTAGGAAAATAGAAAACCAAAAGCAATACCACATTCCTAAAAGGATTGCAGAGATTACTGCCACCATCAAGGACTTGAAGAAGGCAGGGGTAGTGATTCCCACCACATCCCCATTCAACTTGCCTATCTGGCCTGTGCAAAAAAACAGATAGATCTTGGAGAATGACAGTGGATTATCAGAAACTTAACCAGGTGGTGACTCCACTTGCAGCTCCTATTCCAAATGTGGTTTCATTACTTGAGCAAATTAATACATCTCCTGGTACCTGGTATGCAGCTACTGATCTGGTTAATGCCTTTTTCTCCATACCTGTTTCTAAGGACCATCAGAAGCAGTTTGCCTTCAGCTGGCAAGGCCAGCAATATGCCTTCAGCTGCCTACCTCAGGGCTACATCAACTCTCCAGCCCTATGTCATAATTTAGTCTGCAGGGACCTTGATCACCTTTCCTTTCCACAAGACGTCACACTGGTCCATTACATTGACGACATAATGCTGACTGGACCTAGTAAGCAACAGATGTCAATGACTCTGGACTAATTGGTAAAACGTCTGTGTGCTAGAGGATGGGAAATTAATCTCACAAAAATTCAGGCACCTTCTACCTCAGTGAAATTTCTAGGGGTCCAGTGGTGTGAGGCATGTGGAGATATTCCTTCTAAAGTCAAGGATAAGATATTGCATGTGGCTCCTCCCACAGCTAAAAAGGAGGCACTACACCTAGTGGGTCTCTTTGGATTTTGGAGGCAAAATATTCCTCATCTGGGTATGCTATCTAGCCTATTTCTCAAGTGACTTGAAAAGCTGCTAGTTT